TCTTGAAAATTTTAAAAATTCTTTTCTTGATTATAATATTAGGGGGGGCATTGGGTACATGGGCTGCTGGTGGTGTTTTAATTATGATTAAGAAAAATTATAATATGATCGATTATGGATCAGATACTAATGGTAGAATAATTTATATTAAAATTGAATGTAATCATGTTCCAATAGTATTAGTCAATGTTTATGCTCCTGCTCAAATAACAGAACGATGTTCCTTTTTTAAGGAATTATTTTTATATATTCCTTCTACCAAATGGATTATCATCGGTGGGGACTTTAATTGTACCCCGAACAATCATCAAGATAGAAACAAATTAGGTGCACAAACAGATAATCTATCTTATCGCATTTTACTTAAGGAGGTGATCAATCCACTATTGTTAACTGAAATATTTAGACGTAAACAATCTAGGAAAATGATTTATTCATATCATGCAAGTGCAGGCAATTATCATAGTCGAATAGATCTGGTATTTGGTTCTGATATTATATACAAAAATACACATGATATTGGTTATGTTCCAGTGGGCATATCAGATCATGACGCATTAGTTTTATCTATCAAAATACCACCATTAACCGATAAAAATATGCATCGTAGATGGATATGTAATCCTAATGTAATTAAAAGGAAATCCTTTTTTAGAAAAATTCCATCGAGTATGGAACATTATTATCAACACAGCTGATCTTAATACAACTGAATGGTGGAAGGATTTTAAGACAAGCCTAATTATGATAATACAACAAGAAGAAAAAGAACTTAATCGTGAAACTCGACGTGAATTAGATGGATTATCTAAAGAATATCGTTTTAGAGCAACTAATCCATCCAATGATGACTTAGCACAATTAGAGATTATTAGACAAAAACTTCACGACGCATTAACAGGAAAATTCGTTAATAGCATTCCAAGTCAAGATGATCGTGATTTTAAATGTCTTAGTAATTTAGCTAAAGTGAGATTAGCACATGGTAAAGCCAATCAATCTAGAATTGCTTATCTTACTCACCCATCTAAAGGTCGTGTTGAAACAGATAATGGAATGATGGAAATTTGTTGCAATTTCTATCAAGATTTATATAATGTTAAACCAATCGATACATATTATTGGAGCGAGTTATTCGAAGATATAACAACACTCAATCAAAATGATATCGACTTACTTGATCGTGATATAACAACGGATGAATGTTACGAAGCCCTTAAAGCTATGCAATTAGGTCGAGTTCCAGGTGATGATGGTTTAACGATTGAACTATGGAGATTTATTTTTCCAATAATAGGAGGTCATTTTATCAGGATGGTTAATACAGCTAGAGACAAAGGTCACTTTCACGATGGATTTTTTAATGGTCTCCTTACACTATTAAAGAAGGAAGGTGAATTTAATGGAACGATGAAAAATTTTCGACCTCTCTCACTCATGAATATCGACTATAAAATCATAACCAAAGTATTAAGCACAAGACTAAAGAAGGTTATGAACAAAATCATACATTACAATCAAACATCAGGTATTCCCGGGAGAACTATACATGATAATATACACTTAATACGTACAATCATAGACTATCATTCAAGAAACCGTATACCTTTAGGAATTACAATGTGGGATCAAGAAAAAGCTTTTGACAGAGTGAACCATCGTTATTTATTTGAAGTGCTAAGGCAGTTTGGATTTGGCAATAATTTCATCAATATGATTCAATTGTTATACACCAATTCCACATTTACAATTAAATTTAACAATCTCCTGAGTAAAAAATTACTCTTTAACTCAGGAATTAGACAAGGTTGCTCACTTTCTGGTTATCTATATGTTATGTGTTTAGAACCTTTGTTAAATTTAATAAGAAAAAATCCCAAGATACCCGGTGTTTTAGTTCCAGGTAGTCAATATAGATCACTTGTTAATACAATTCTTCAAAACGATGAAACAAATATTGAAATTAAAACATTAGCATATGCTGATGATGTATGCACATTTGTTTTTAATATCAATGATGAATTTGAAACTTATGAACTGTTTAAAAAATATAGTTATGCATCAGGTGGTAAAACAAATGATACAAAAACAGTTATCTTTTGGATAAGTGACTGTCTGGATCCTCTTCCTTTTAATGCAAAAATTGAAAGAGAGAAATGTACCTTCCTGGGAATACCAATGGATACTCAAGGCCAGTTACCACATGAAGAAATTGATAAAATGGTAAACAACATCAAGAAAGAAATAGGACTATGGTCCTCAATAAGACTATCTTTATGTGAAAGAGCAAGTATTCTAAAATGCTTTATAATTAGTAGATTGGTATATTTGTTATCATCAATGTTAATTAATAAAAATGTAAT